AAGGACTAGGAACAATTGGCACCACCTACAGATCCATTGATGCTTCCTCCTAATGTTCATCCGGATCCTCTTCTGACTGATAGATTTGAGCTAACTCCATGAGCATGGATGGACGGAGCGGCAATGATGCCACAAACTCAATGAGGAAGTGCTCAATCCAACCTAGTGACAGCACCTGGTTTCACAACACAGGAACCCACTCTACAGGCTGGTTGAGGCCATAGGCTTTTGTACTATCAATGCTTCCTGGAACCGATGTCATTATCTGTTAGGCTTTTGTTTAAACCAACAAGCCCAAAACCTAAGAAAATCAGGGAGAGAGACAGCTAGGGTTTTTATTGAGCTATACAATTTCTTGATCAAAACATCTTCTACAAATTAGATTACTAGGCAAAATGGAACGTTAACTCCTTCAGCAGATCCTATGTTTCTTTTGCATACGAACAATTTCCAGCTGCAGAGGTGTCGTCTTTGGAAGAAAAATGATCACCTGTTGGTTGTCGTACTCCCAAAAGGACTGCTTAGTATCAACAGAGGAGAATTAAAACACAATGCTGAGGCAGCACTCATCCTCCACAAGCTCCTCGTTGCTGTAAATCTTCACCATGTCCAAACATGTCTTTTGCAGGTCACATTTCATAGGGCTAGATACAATGTAGATTCTCCCTGCAGCAACCACAATATCAGTCAGCATGCATCATCAAGAGGCCACGCACCACACTAACCTACAAATCTCAGTAGTTTGAGACAGATGACATATTTGTCTTCCAAGCAGCACCTAAAGTTTTTATATACTGCTAACTCATTGTTATGGACTTCAAGAACCCATCAAGGAAGCCGGGATACTAGAAGGGCATAACAGAATAAAAGAGACATGCTTGCAAGTGAGTGTTTGTGTATTTTGCTAGATGTGAACTCCAAACTGACACGAGCCCATCCACTAGAGAACCCTAACTATTTTTCATCATTATAAGAGGAAAGGATGATGTGAGGTCCAAGTGTACGGTTATGATGTTGTATACTAATATTACCATAGTGGGATTTTGATAGCCGTCAGATTGATTTCAACCCAGACCACTCACTTCTATATAAGCTAGGGTTTTTGGGTTTGTATTCTATTTCTATAAAATAAATTAAAAATATAGATCATATAAATTATTAAATAAAATAAAATAAAAATTATGGTAAACCAATCAAGTGAAAGCTAAATCATTCATTTTTATTAGTAGTGATTTTTTTTCTTAACAACCATACACTACCATTTGATTTCCTAAGATTGGATGGTTAAGAGTTTTTTACAAAGAAAAATTAATGATCAAGGCCTAAGTGAGTTACATACCTAGCATAATGTTTAGGATTTCAAGGCATCACTTTCCATTGTTCACTACCTAGGTTTGTAGTTTTTCTTATTAGCTGATGGAAGTTCATATCTATCTATTATAGGAAGCAAATGGCATTAGCCATTCTCATGTCTATTCTAAATGGGCTGCTTAAGATAAACTTTAACCTCTACAAAATCTTATCCTTCTTGTCTCATATAAGTATTCCTAGAGCTCAAACTTTACTAGCAATTTTGATATAGCAAGGTCTCAAGACAAGAAGGCATTATATTGTGTATATTCTTCTATGAGCAAAATACAAGTAGTGGAACAAGGATACAACATTTTGATAATTGTCTTTTTAAGGTAAGCACTTTGGTTTCTTCTTAAATCTCCATGACATATGTGTTTATCTTATTTTGCCCTCCACTTTATTGCAAAGTGCCTTGTTCAATAAAGATGCTTATTTAGTGAGTGTTTAATGTTAACTTTTTTTCCTTCCTCTAAGCTTCATTTTAAAAGTTTAAGTCAAAAGCCTTTAATGAACTCATTGTTAGTTTATATAAGCCACAAATTTTCTTTTTCCAATTTGCCAACTTACCTCATTTATCCAACCACCTTTGCCTTAGCTTTAGCTAAATTCTTTGCCAAAGTTCTCACCTATTGCACTAATTCTAACTTGGTCCTACTTAAGTTCATCTATTTACTACACAAGCAATGAGGTGTTAGCTAACTCTTCATGGATTCTCAAACTCTTTCATAATTCCCCTCCCCGAGTTAGATTAGATTTAAAGTTTGGCTATACTCTCTATAAGCACAAGCAACTAAACATACTAAACCTCTAGGTTCCTAACATTCTATGGTATGCAAAATTTGTTCACATGACCCTGTAAAATTTTAATCTCTTTTGGTGATTGTTGATGAATAAAAACCTTGATTGGACAAACATCCCGATTGAAATAAAATGACGTGTTGCAATCTTGACCCTAGATGACAAGTTACATTAACATTAAAAAAGATTAACATACTCCTTCATGAGCCAGTTGTAAGCAACCAAAGGGAACGATTTGAGAGACGATCCATAGAGGTTCAAATATAGAGGGAAAGGGCCCATGAACAAGAGTGCACCCTTTTTTCCAATCGGTTAAGGGTCTTGGGATATTTGGGGTTAAGCGTCCCTGGGCTGGGTGACCTCCCGGGAAGTCCAAACTCAGGAGCTTACATTTGGTATTAGAGTGGTCTCGGGTTCGACTCTGTTGGTTGGCTAGGGGAATCACACCACATGTTGATTGACATCTGGCTGGTCCAGTTTGCTTCTACTGGGCTTGACCCGAGGGGTAGGGTGTCAAGAGAGCGGGGCTCTTGGGAGAGCTACGGCTCTCAACTTCCGTTCACGAGGGCATGAACTTGTAGGGAAGCGTGGTGGATTGTAAGTAACCAAAGGGAATGACTTGAGAGACGATCCATAAGGGTTCAAATATAGAGGGAAAGGGCCCATGAACAAGAGTGCACCCCCTTTTCCAATCGGTTAAGGGTCTTGGGATATTTGGGGTTAAGCGTCCTTGGGTTTGAATAGTACTGGGCTAAGTGACCTCCCAGGAAGTTCAAACTCAGGAGCTTACACCAGTCAACTATTACAACACAAAGACCATCAGAAGGATTGGAAGAAGGAATAGAGGAACAAAACGAAAATATAAAAGGAAAATAAAAGAAAATAATAATGGAAGCAAAAGCAAAAATAAAAGGATAAAGAGGAATAGACGAAATATAAAGAAATATAAGATAAAAGGGAAAAACTTTAAAATCACACTTAGCATGATTGCATCGCAACCAATTCATACCAAAGATGAGGTTAAAAACTTAACTTGGCACCACCCACAACAATTGCAACTCAAACTCGAGATCACGCATACACACAATTAGATTTGTCTCGTCCTATACATATGGCCATTTCCATAAAGAATAAAAAATAGTTTTACCATACGATGCAAATATAGACAGCAACATGTGGCAATATACCAAGCAATAGAGGATAAACTTGAGCATGTATCAATCAATATAGGGAGAATAGTAAAAGACTTTTTGTTATAAAAATGAATTTAGAAAGTAAAGATTAAATGAACTAGTGCCAAATAAACCCCTTAATGATACTCCCCAAAAAAAAATGGAAAGGTAGGACTCTTTGTTACTCGCTCAACTCTTCATTTCCTAGAAATATCTTAGTGTCTAGACTTTTTATTGTAGCAGCACTAACAAGATGTTATTGATGCCAAGGTCTCCACCTAGGAAATGGAAGTTACCAATTCTAAAAATGTTGATAACACTAATAAGTGTAATTAACTTCATTACATGCCTAACAACAAATATCACAGCCATAACCACATCCTTGCCTCTATCCTTGAACTTAGGCAATAGTTACATTAACTTGTATTGGAACATAACTATTTCTTATAAGAAGTATATCTCATAAAGTTGTGCCAAGTGAAAAGCATCATTAAAGGTGGTTGGAGCAAGTATATATGCAAATTTTACAGGATCTTGACGAAATGTTAACCATAACATTCTCAACTTAATATGCTCTAATATATTTAATTCCACATGAAGCAAAAAACTTCAAAAACAAACATTAAATTATATCACTAATTTAGATGGCTTTTGACAAAGACAATGCAATTACATCACAAACAACTAAAACCCTTGCTTGATCAGATGGATTTTTATTAGCATTCTTCCTGCCTAATCCTCTTGTCTTGCCTACAGCTTTGTCTTTGCAATATCTTGCATAATGTCCTGTCCACTTGCACACACACCCTTTCTACTTGGGGAATCATGCCATCAGTGTTGTCACTGCCATGAGCTTTCTGGAAACTGCTTGTGGCTGGACTGCTATCTCTTCAACCTGAGGACCTCAAAGTTGAGCCAGCTACAAAGAGTGCAGCTCCTGGATTTTCTTGTTTGGTGGATTCTTCTGTGCCTTCATCATTCAGCAGCAATGCACAAATGTCTTTGTTTAGTTCTTCAAAACGTTTCTCAATGTCCCATGTTCTGGTTGTGCAGCCAAAGCATTCAGTAGAACTGCCTTCTTGTCTGCTTCTTTTACAACCTCACCTAAACTGGTGAGTTGAGGCATAATAGACTTCATCCAGCCTAGAAATGTCGCTGGGAACCCATCAGATCCCATCCTAATCTCAAAAAACTTGGACTTCAACTCCACTTTGTTGGGCTTGATTACCAAATGTGGTCCTAGCAGCTATCTTTGTGAGGTCAAACCCTTTTTCATCAGAGGCTGCTGATTTGAGCTCTGTCCCCTGGACAATTTGAAGGCAATTGTCCATGAACGAAATCTCTTTTGCCCAGTTTTCAAAATCAGTGCCACTAAATACCAGGATCAGAAGGGCTTTGCTTGTCATCATTCCTGCAAGGGTCTCAACCACTGGCCAAACTTGCTAGACAATAAAGTGTTCGATTGCCCGACATCGTTTCTCTTGTGTCTTCTTCTGCAATCGATTTTTCACTCACTGGAGAATGGCTCGTGAGTGATTGAGATCTGCTTGCTCTCGCCCCATTGCTTCTCCCAAGCGTCATTTTCTTGGGACCATCTTTGGTTTTGAGGCGGTTATTCCCTTAACTACCATTTTTCTATGTCAATTAGTATGTGGTATAATTCCTTTAGCCAACCAATAGAGTTAGACTTGAGACCCTTCTATTACCAAATGTATATAAATATTTACATGGTCTCCACGTTAGCTCGTGGATCCGATCTGGATATTTCTACAGTACCACAATCCATGGAATCCTCGCTTAAAAGCGTCCGGCAACTCTCAAGCTCAACTCTACAGTCTGCTATACTAGGCCGATCTGAGGGATCCACTGCCGAACATTTTTCCGACAACTCCCACAGGACTTCATCCACCATCTTATTAAGAGCAGGAACGTTGCTGGCACTCCTGATAAGATGACCCAGGCCCCAGACGTCCACAGGTGAACCATGGTAACCTGTAAGCATTTCTGGCGCATGCACCCGTGAATTTAACGGATGTGCCGTTGTAGCCTCTTCAAACGTGCACGCCTCCTCCACATCTATCAGCGTCCACACCCCAGCTACTTCGTCCAAGGCCACGTTGCCCCAATGGACGTCCCTGTGGATCCACCTCTTTTCCTTGAGCCAGGCCAGAGCTTCAGAGACATCAAGAAGAGCTCTCACAAGTGATTCCTGCGTTGAAGGCCGAGCTGTTCTGTTTAGACGAGGAGAAAAGCTAAGCATATACTCGCCGATCCTCCTTTTAAAAGAGCCATTCTCATGTCGCGGCTTCCTGCTCAAGCAAGTCTCCATGTTGGGGCAGCCCTTGAGAGCGTAATATATTTTCCAAACTTTCATCCTCCTCCCCTTCGTCAGATAGCCTTTGATCACCTGATCTCCAGCTAGCCTCACAGATTTCCCGGTCGTTATACCTTTCACAACTTCAAATTCCGTATTCTCGTTGTTTATAATGCACATATCGTGCAAACCTCCCAGTACCCGACCAACGTTGGACATAACCATGAAGAGTTTGACCCTGTCACCAATTTCGTACAAATTGAACGTTGCCAGGTGCCTGCTCTTAACCCTCCCCCCTTCATAATAAAGCGCGACCAACGTCACCGCAAGACCGCTCGCAGAGTAACCGAGAATGTAAGGAATTGCCTTGTAACACCAGTTCCGCTTGGAAACCAGCTCTTTAAGAAGATTGCCAGTTCCTCCCAGTTCCTCTTCGGCAATCCAAAGCGAAAAACGAGCACCAACATATCCCACGACGTCGGGAAGTAAATTGTCAATTCCAGTATTTGTATTACGGTCCTTACTGAAGGCCACATTCATGAACACTCTCAGGGGAGTGTTGATCAAGTTATCCCATGCCTGAATAAATGAGAGCTCGGAAACACCTGCAACGAAGATACCATTAGTATGACATAATACAGCGACGTCAAACCTGTTTCTGGTGGTGGAAGTATACAGCCGGAGAGATGCTCCTCAAGCCCCAAACAGCGATCACCATCCGAAGGCTCGAAGAGACCCTGCACATCGTAGTCTCGAACCCGGTTGTATGTCCTGGAACTCACGCGGATCGTAAGCCCATCGGGCCTCTTGAGGAGAAACCCCGCCAAGCCTTGAAGCTCGGGTACTACTGGCGTGCAATATTCGCTGACAGTCTTGTAGGTGAGATCCAAGGAATTCTCGTTAGCAATTCGAGGGGCCGACTCTGAAAGAAAATGCGTCAGTAGCCTCAACAGCCGAAGACTGTACCTTTCAGAAAGCTCCTGAGCACGTCCGCTTTGTCCTCCGGTGTGGGCGCGAGGAAAAGTACTGAGGGATCCTTTCCTTCTAGCCGCAGCATACCCAGCTTCACAGAGAGCTGGCACTTCTCATCATTGCTCAATGGCAAATTCCACAAGTCAATTAGTGGATCCGCCATGACAAAAAAAAACCCTAGAAAATAAAACCCTTTAAAGGCTCTCATTTGCTTTCATTTGACTTTTACCTTGTTACACTTGGTTTTGATTGAAGAGAAAGCTTTAAACAAAATTGATGGCACTCACAATCTGGCCCGAGTCCATCTCCGACTAACTCGCAAGCTACATTCTCAGAGCCTTGCAGATCTGAGAAACCCGGAAGAGGAAAGAGAGAACGCTGAATCTACAAATTCCACGGACTATACCACGAGGCGAACGAGAAGACGAGTGTGCCACCCACCGCTCTCATCGTCTCAAACTGCGTTTCCATTTGCGAGCGAGTCAACAGAAGTGTCCTGTGTCCGTTGCCTCTGTAAGAAAACAAAGAAAATTTTAGACTGCGTTAGCCAGACCATATGAAACACGCGACAGATCCTTTAGAATCCTTTCTCGTTAGTGATGCTCTCACGTACCACCAACACTAGACTTCGAGATAAGAGCCACCAGCAGCCACGACTCTCTACGACACCTCTACTGACAAAATCTCTCGAGACTAAACTCAATCTCCTGGAAAAACCACTCGAGGTTAGCATGCTTGTCGTCTTGGCCTTTCCGCTTCTTTAACTAGTGTACTACTACTACTTGAAGACCACCGAAACGGATAGGAAAGAAAAACGTACCCAGTCAGTAGCATCTCCTGTAGAAACCCCGTTCATGAGCTTGTGCATCTCCTCCTTGCTTCTGCTATCTTTTCCCCTCAATGGCAGCAAAGGACCAGAGGAACGCTCCGAGATATCTGCAAGCGTCGTGTATGAGCCAGAGAAGGCAGTTATAAACAAATATATCCTCTCACCGGAATCCGAGAGCTGCCTGTCCACAAAGTAAAATACAAGGGCAACGGTATACCTGGAGAGAAAAAAAATTAAAAATCCACAAACGTTAGAGCTCTGGCAATCAAAACAAGAGAAGAGAAAACGCTGACCAGGCCACCACAACGTCGACAGTGTAGTGCTTTCTCGAGGCAATAATAAGGAGGCTCAAAACAACGCTGACGAGCCAAGCAAGCCGCTTTATCCACCTGGATCCAGAAAAGCCACGATGGTCTCACATGCAGCACGAGAAACGAAAAGAGAAAAAAGAAAAAAACTTACCTCTTTGTCCCGTATTTCTGGTATGTCCAGATGAAAACAAGAGTAAATATCATGTGCGAGGAGAAGATCAAGTCCCCGCAGCCAAAGATTACGCCATACGGAACTGCAGGTTACAATCTGATTAAGCCTCGACAGGACGAGAGATTTTTTACTCACAGTTGAGAAACACGACTTCCGAGATACTTTTTGGAGGCGCCAATGTTGCTGACGGGGATCCCTGGAAAGAAACGAGTTAGAAGCACTTCACTTTCGATTTTTAAAGGAGGATATACCTCGTGACAGTGGTAGTTTGGTCCTGGAAGCGACGTGGAAAGAAATGACATGATTCGGAGGCACTGAGCAACCTGTGGATGGCAAGTGTTGAGTGACAAAGCATACGAACGAAAAAGATTGGGAGGGAAAGAGACTCACGACTAAAGTAGCAAGAACTCGGTACCACACCAAGACTGTATAAAATCGCTTGTTGTGGAACACAAATGGATGAAAAGTCCACTGCAGTAACGACCGATTCAGCGCTGGAAAGAGAACTTCTAGATCGTACCAGGAAAAATGTAACAAACACGAAGGTGAACAAGGTCTCGCTGATGTATGCCCTTTCGCGTCCTAGCTCCTGGATGCTGGAAAGGTCAATCTCCAGACGAGGAGAAAAGAATTTGTCCAAGCCTTACAGGGAGAAATCGAAAGCCAATATCCGGAAGGATTCGACCAGGTTGATGGAGGTAGTGAGCGACTTTAGCAGCAACACCATGTACATACTGCCCAGAGAACGAAGCAAAAGAAGCAACAGAGCATGAGAAAGAGAGAAGAAAAAAAAATCGTTCTACCTGGAAGATGAGAGCTAGCAGCAGGAGCTTCCATTTCTCGGACAAAATCTTGAGCTCCAGCATCAACTCCATCACGATCCTCTTCCATAGCTTGATTACCCCCAACAAAGTCAAACAACTGTGGATACAAAGAAACCAATCGATGCTAACTCACCTTGTATGCCTCCCGAGCAATGTAGGGCGGCATAACTGGAGCGCCCCAAAGCCCTCCGCTCGTCGCTGGCCTATCCACCCCCCGGCTATAGCATTGCTAGAGCTCCCAGACGAATCGAGCTTGGATCATCTGGTAATCCGCGGCACGGATCTTGCCGATGCGATTCCTCGATGAGTGGAACGGTCGGCGCGCTGTACAGGGAGCTCTCCAAATGCCGCGCGCTCGCTGTGCTCGGCCGCCCACAACAGCGCAGCGCGACACCCACAGAGAGAAAGAGATCAATGAATCAAAACCCTAACGAATATGCCCCGCATATTTTTGGAAACGCGGAAAGGGAGACCGAAGGAATAAAAAAAGCACAACTGAGATATTCATATTTTTATTACTGTCATGGAAACGATTTTGATCAATATACCCTCAATCTGGAATGTCGCAGCATCGAGCTTGCACCCCTAATCTTGCATCCTCTTGAAGGATTCAAACACCTTGGAGGTGTTTCCTTGATGGCGGTATCCTGCTATCAGTGCGTTCCAAGTTACCGACTCTCGCCTCTCCTCGAGAGTACCACATTTGCCATAGATAGAATATTCCAAAACCAGTATAAAAGGCACATTCTCTACGAGAAAAATCCCCATACTCTCTAGTTCCTGACCAAGCTCCGGCCAGCCTCTTCAAGCCCGAGTCATCGTGGCTGGAATCTCGTGGCCTTGAACTCTTGCTGCGAGCTTCCTTCCTTTCTCGCCATCCTAGTTCTTTTTCTTTCTTTCTTCTCTCTTCATGATTGTTTTCTCTTATATTGCTTCGAGCTAAGTTTTCAGTCTTCTTCATCACTTGATTCTTCTCAAGCTTTTGGTTTTGGATAAGCAACAGGAAGGACTGATATCTTTCGATTCATACAGGCTCTAGGCTATCTGCACGCAAGGAACGGAACATGGAACAGTAGTCACGTGTGCAAGTTAGCCGGCCTGGCGTTCCATCGTAGCCACTTGCACCTCGTTCTCACTGCCGGTGCCGTGCTCTTCAGGTGAAAAAAGTACTTTTTTCTTCCTTTTTGAGGCTTATAGTCGCTTTGTGTTTTGATCTGGTCAAAGAAGTACTGATGTGGCAAATAACAAATGCTATATCTCTTCAGTGATTTCATTAGTGCTGCTCGACGCTCCCGAGATAATATAGAACTCCATGTCAGCACTAAATCAGGAGCGCCTGTTCAGCATGACTCAAAAGAGGCAAGCATCATTGGGTTCCAGGATTCTACTGATTTACCAGGCCAGGCTTCCAATGCGCAACCCACTTACTGCTGATAATGCTTTCACACACATAAGAGTCTGGGTAAGATCGATAGTATCAGTTCAATTCTCTTGCTCACAAATCCATTGCAATGCATAGATCACTGAATTGAATGCTAAAGCTCCAGATCAACAAGCCATAAATTAAAAACAATTATTGGAGTGATAAAATTTATTTGCATTTAATTTTATATCATCAAATATTTTCAAATTTTAAATGCTATCTTAATTATAAATAGTTCATTGTGAACAAATAAAATTATATTCTGAAAATAACTATATAGTTACTATTTATAATTATAAATTTAATTTAATATTTTAAGCCAAAGAGTGAGGTGATTAACATATCATATCATTATTGATTTGAAAAATTAGAGAGTTCCACTAATTAAGTTTCTTATGCAAACTTGACAAATTGAAGAGTTTTACTAAGTAGTTTCTTTTATGCAATCTTCTCACAGAAAAATATGTATAAATTGCATATATAAATTATTTTCTATTATAATTTATTGTAATTTACAAATCAATAGAATTTTGTTTACTTGTAGTAAACATTAAAATAGCCAGTAAACATTTAAATATGGTGAGGACCTACGAAACGTTTACTTTGAGTCGGCTGGAAAGCTGAGGAGAAATCTTAACACAATGCGTGAGAGAGGGAAAACAAGAAAGGAAAACTTGCCTGTTGCGAAACGCACGTCGACCGGTTGGCAAAACTCTACACAATCTCGACTATAAGTTTCACGTACACAAAAGCTCAAATCCATCATTGGCTTCTCTCTTCACTCTGCTTTCAATCGCTTTGCAGCAGCAGCAGCAACAATGTCCCCTGTAATCAAGAACATCGTAGCGCTCATGCTCGTGGCCGCCATCGCCTCCTCCGCCACCTTCGTGCATGGCGCCGACGAGGACCCACTCCAGGACTTCTGCGTCCGCGACCGCAGCCAGTCCCCCAACGCGGACTACGCCTGCAAGCCCAGCGAGCGCGTCGCCGCCTCCGACTTCAAGTACTCGGGCCTGCGCGCCCGTGGCAACACCGCCAACAAGCTCGGCTTCGCCGCCACCATCGCCAACGCCGCCTCCTTCGCGGGCCTCAACGCCCAGGGCCTCTCGCTCTCGCGCCTGGATTTCGCCCCGGACGGCGTGAATCCCCCGCACATCCACCCCCGCGCCAGCGAGCTCATCCTCGTCGTGCAGGGCTCCCTGTATGTCGGATTCGTGAGCACTGACAATCGCGTGTTTGCCCAGGTGCTGTATCCCGGGGAGATCTTCATCTTTCCCAGGGGTCTCGTCCACTTCCTGCGCAATGTTGGGCGGACCCCTGCGATCGCCTACTCGGCGCTTAACAGCCAGAACCCGGGGACTTCCCAGGTTGCAAAGGCGGTGTTTGCGTCCATTCCTCTTGTGGATGATCGTGTCGTCGCGAAGGCGTTCCAGATCTACAGCACGCAGCAGCTCAAGAACATGAGAGAGCTCATCAAGAGAACTTGATTGATTCATAGAGTTTGTGATTGAGAGTGTCTTGAGTTTGTCGATCGATCACCAAATCTCTCCCAAGTTTCCATGAAAATAATAAAAAGTTGACAACCCCATTTTCACTTGAATTGTTTGAAGTTGTAGACTTTCGTGGAAACAAAATAGAACATGAGAAAG